AAGCCCGATGGGCTGAGGTTTTGGAGCAGTTTGTACCCTCACTTCAGATTATCTACCGCCCCGGAAAACTCAACCCAGCCGACATCTTGTCCCGACCACCACCACCAGCCCCACCACCCACCGACCAGCCCAAACCAACCACCAACCAGCCCCACCACTCCCCAACCAGCCCCACCTCATCACCTCCACCTCACACTCTGAACCCACCCTTGCAACTCCATGGAATCAGCAGCATCACTTGGGATGATACCTTCATCACGAAATTTCAGCGCGCCTACAAACGTGACCTGTTTTTTGTCAAGCAAGCACCCGAGGACCCGACCTACTCATTTGAAGACCCATTTTGGTACAACACCGTCACCAAGACCATTTGTGTCCTTGCAGATCGCTCCTTACGACAGCTGCTACTCTCCGAATACCACGACACCGTTACCGGCAGCCACTTAGGTATTGAGAAGACCTACGCACGCCTCTCCAATGACTACCATTGGCCACACATGCATGCTGATGTGCGTGACTTCATACGCACCTGCCGCACCCGCCAACAACTCAAAGCACGCACCACCAACCGCTACGGACTCCTTCAGCCCATCCCTCCACCTACCAAAGTGTGGGATGAAGTCACCATGGACTTCATCATGGATCTGCCCCGCACACCCCGCAGCTACAACGCTATCCTAGTCGTCGTCGACCGACTCTCCAAAATGAGCCACTTCATTCCTACCCACACAACCGTCACCGCACCCGAAACAGCCAGACTCTTCTTCGATCACATAGTCCGCCTACATGGTCTCCCATCCGCCATCATTTCAGACCGTGACCCCCGCTTCTTGAGTAACTTTTGGCAGAGCCTCTTCAAGCTTCACGGAACCCAACTGGAGTTTTCTACCGCGTATCACCCTGAAACGGGCGGACAAACCGAATGGATGAACCGCACGCTTGAAGACTCCCTCTGTGCACAAGTTACTGCTCGCCAAACTGATCGGGATCTCCACCTCACCGCCATCGAACTCGCATACAACAGCACACCCCACCTTTCTACCGGCCAGCCACCCTTCTACCTCGCAACCGGACAGCACCCCCGCCTCCCCACGACCCCTACCCCCCACCTCTCCCACGCACCAGCAGCCTTTGAGTTCCTCACCTCACTCGAATCAGCCATTGATGCCGCTCGCACCTCCATCCTTAAAGCTCAAGCCAAACAGACCCACTATGCCAACTCCCACCGCAAATATATACGCTTCAAGGTTGGCGATCAAGTGTTACTCTCCACTGACCACCTACCTCTCCTACGCAAAGGCACAACCAGAAAACTCGCCCCTCGCTTTATTGGCCCGTTCCCCATCACCCGAGTCCTCTCACCAGTCACCTACCGTCTCCAACTGCCCAGCTATTTGAAGATTCACCCCATCTTCCATGTCCAGCGCCTCCGCCCTTTCCGTGCACCTTCACACGACCGTCCAGCCACACGCCAACTGCCACCGATGTTCGAAGGCAGCCCGGGCCTGTTTGAGGTTGCATCTATCGCTGCACATCGCGACACACCTCATGGTCGCGAGTTTCTTGTTCATCGGAAGGACCAGCCCACTAGTGACGACTCATGGGAATCAGAGAGCCACCTTGACCGTGCCGCAACAGCTGTGAATCGGTATTTGACCAGCCACGGTTTGGCGCCATGGACGGCGCCACTTGGAGGGGGAAGTAATGTAACAGTGTGGCAGCCGATGCTGTCAAGTACAGTGCATGTGGGCGGAAGTCAAGCGCCACCTCACCAACTGTTCGTATTGGTCAAACGCCTCAACCTGCAGCTGGGTGACCAGGTCCTGACGCGCAGCCCAACACAAACCCTCGCGCGAAAATTACGAAACGCAGAACACCGAAGTTCCGACCGCTCGCCGACTTCGCCAACAACACCGACGAAATTACAGCCCCGTAACCAAGCTCGCCGTCCAATCCCGTACCGCAATAATTCTCTGAATTTCACGGCAGGTTCATTTCAAAGGGGTTGGGTTACCATTGAGAAATTCAGAGAGAGTCGCGACTTGGGAGTGCGACTCGATATTTGAATGTGCTCTATAAAATTGTATCTAAAAAATTGTACTGTGAAATTTGTGAAGTCATAGTGCAATTTCCAGAGAACTCCAGAGAGCACTCTATCCTCGTTTTCCTAGCCTACTAAGCCTGCTACTTCCTTGCTAGTAACGTTTCAGTTGGTGTCATTCAATGCCCGTCTTAGCGTAGTTGTCTTGCCAAGTCGTCGAGGGCCCTTGCTGTCGAAGGGCCCTCTAACATTTTGAGCTGGCGAAAGAGCGAGGGTCGGTTGGCGAGGTTGCGAGGCAGGAAGGTTACTCGCCCGGCTTGAGACGGACACAATCGATTCCAACATCAGAGATCAATTCTGCCGTCATTGACGGACTCCAATAACGAAATTGAACGGACTCCAATAACGAAATTGAATGGACTCCAATCAACAGCGACTCCCCCTCCTCCAACAGCCGTTCGGTGGTCTTGACGCCGTCAGCAGCGGCAATGACGCAAGATAGCGGTAGTGGTGGTATCGGTGGTGTTGGAGGAGCGGGATCCGTTCCGAACGTGAGTCAGGAGCCATGCCGGAAGTTACTCCTTGTCATCGACACAGACGGCTGCAATGGCGACAGCAGCAGCAACGGAAACAGCAGCGAGATTCGCAGCAGCAGCAGCAGCACCAACGGCAGCAGCATTTCGCGGCCATTGGTTGTGGATTCTCTCCCCCCATGGCATCGGTTCCTCTCCCTCTGCTCCTCGCTTCCCTCCTCCCGTCCCTCCTCTCTTTCCTCCTCCATACCTGTCCCCCTCGCCTCCACCTATCTCTCCCCTCATCCCTCCATCCATCCCTCCTCTCCTCGCCTTTCCGCCCCTCATTCCATCAAACCCTGTGATTGGCCAGCCTCGCCTCTGGAAGCTTACATGGCGCTGTCCAAGCTGGCAGCCGCTGATTGGTGGAGACGAGTGGAGGTAGTTTTCCTGGCAGAAAGTGGTGGGAAGGAGGCGGAAGGGGAGGGGAAGGCGGAAAGTAGGAGGGCGGATGGGGAGAGGGCGGAGGAGGGGAGGGAGGAAGGGGAGGGAAGGGCGGAAGGGGAGGGAAGGGTGGAAGAGGAGAGGCTGGAAGGGGAGGGGAAGTCGGAGAGGGAGGGGCCGATGGAGAGGGGGCAAGGAGGCGCTACACTTAGAGTGGAAAGCTCTGGCGAAGGGCATTCAGAAAGGGAACGTGTAGAAGGGCATTTGGGGGAGAAGAATGCAGAAAAGGAGCACCAGCATCAGCACCAGGTGCAGAAGCAGCAGCAGCAGCAGCAGCAGCAGCAGCAGCAGCAGCAGCAGCAGCAGCAGCAGCAGCAGCAGCAGCAGCAGCAGCAGCAGCAGCAGCAGCAGCAGCAGCAGCAGCAGCAGTTAGATAGGCAGAGGGAGGGGGAGAAGCAGCAAGAAGGTTTGGGTACAGAGGCCGGTCAGAAACCCCACCAGAACCCATTGAATATGCTTGCTATCATGTGCTACAAACGAGGGGATCATCCAGACAAGGTACGCTGTGTGGAGTTGCTTGTGAGAGCTCTCAAAGGGTACGCTGTGTAGGGCCCATGTTGCCATGCTGCTGGGCTGTCAGAGTCATTATGCGAGTGCAGGTCTTTTTGAGTCAACTCAAAGGTCACGATTAACATTCACCTCGTCTCCTGGCATCGGAGGAGTAATGACGATCTTTGTTGCATTACTCTTCCTTCATCGCCTCGTCGCATGCTTCCATCTTCTCTGCTGCGATCGTTCCTCGGCTGCTGTCCCCCGCTTTGCCTCACCCACCCACCCACCCACCCACCCACCCACACACTATCTTTGCCCCACCCACCCACCCACACACTATCTTTGCCCCACCCACCCACCCACACACTATCTTTGCCCCACCCACCCAACCACCCACACACTATCTTTCCCTGTTTTTTTTACACTCTCGTTCTCTCTCGTTGCAGCCTGAAGTGGTCGTTCCTGTGAGCGCATCGCAAGAGCTAACGCCTGCGTGGTACGTGGCTTTTGAGTCATCTTACACCAATCGCTATGCATGTCATTACACTAATCATTCTGCGTGTTATTGAACTCGTCAGTACACAATGGTCCCTCACAACACATGGGACTTCATCAGAGTCACTTTTTGAGAGCTCTCAAAAGAATCTCCAAGTTCATCGTACGGCACTGTACGCCATTTCTCCCAATCCCGTTTCCTCTCGCTCTCACCCTCTAGCATGGCGTGTTAACCCGTATTTGACTCCCAATTCCTGCATCAACATAGGGTGAAAAAGGGGGGAAAAACGCCTTCTCCCCCTGGATGTTCTCTCTCTTACGTGCAACAAACCCTGCTACCAGGCTCTCTCAGGTTGTCAGGCTCGCCGGCACCCCACTCCCCACGAGCAGCAGCCATAGTCCTGAGTCGCCTCAAGAAAGAATCAATGATTCTCCACTACTCATGGGCAGCAACAGTGATCTTGAGCCGCCTAAAGAAAGGATCACCAGTACCCCACTCGCCAAGACTGGCAGCAGCAGCAGCAGCAGCAGTGGTGTACAAAACGTGCCCAGTTGTTCCTCCAAGGGGCAGGAAGTCTCATTCTACTCGACTGAGGGCGAACAGTTTCCAGGCCGGGCAGTGAGGTTTGCTGTTGTGGACCAGTTTGGGCTCATGGTGATTCTCCGCATGTTTGACCATGTCAACATCAGCTCATGATGGTATGTTTTTTACTGAGCCGCCTTAGCGATTTCCCCATTGGACAGTGAGGCTTGCTGTTGTGGGCCAGTTTGGGCTCATGGTGATTCTCCGCGTGTTCGACCATGTCAACATCAGCTCATAACGCCTGTTGCAACATCATGTTACGAATTATCCTCCCCTACATAATTAGCTAGCGCCAATGTGTTGATGACCACTAAGTGGTGAGCTTACTGCATTAGCGTCTACACAGGGCACACACAATACCTGGCATCTGTTCCTAGGTTTTCTTATCACTTCCAGGGTTCTCATCTGAGTCCCATAGGTCATCCTCCTCCTCATGTTGAGCGCCCACATTCTCCACTTCCCTCCCCGCACAAGCATACTCATCATCCTCTATTACTTCTCCTCTCACTCCCTTCCTCTCAACTTTGCTTCCCCCCTTCCCTTCCCATCCTTTTAGCTGCTCCCTTATCCATTTCAACACCCCTTGAAACCCCAAGCTGGAACCCTGGCCCACGGGCAGTTGGGAGTACGCAATCCCAAAACACCCCAGCTTTCTCTGGGCAAGCTCGAGTGGCGCTCTCGGGGTCCGGGCAGGGTAAAGATGTGCGAAAGAGGATCCAGGAGCCAGCAGGACAGAATACTGTAGCAGCTCTGGCGTGTAGTGTCTTTCCAATTCCTCTCTTTGCCTCTCCCGCAGCTTTCTGGCTTGGGTTTTATTGACAGTGGTGGTGTTGGTGGGTGCAGCAGGGACCCAAGGCAGCAGCAGCAGATCAGCTTGCATCCATGCCGGAACCTGGAAGGACAAGCAGGAGAAATGAAGGATAAGAGAACAAGGAAATCACCAACAGAGATTTATTTGTCACAGAGGAAGAGGTGGTGTTGGTGGGACAAGCAGAGACCCATGGCAGCAGCACCAGATCGGCTCGCATCCAAAACAAGAAACAGGAGATGATTGACAGACGAGGAAATCGGTGCATGGGGAACTGAGTGAACAGCAACAGTGAGTGACTCTTACATTCGACGCTCCGGACGGAGAGAAGCTGAAGGAAGTGTGGTGGAGAGAGTGGTGTGGCAGGGCTGACGTATTGAGTTGATTTTTGAGGCGCCTCCAAATTCAACTCAAGTTGAAGAAAGTGTGGTGGAGAGAGTGGTGTAGCGGGGCTGAGGCAAATCAAGAGTGTGTAGGGTCGGCGTTAAGGCACTGAGCTGATCGGTGCATGGATCATTGTGCTCTTGTGCTTGCACCACTTCACGTGATTGAGAGAGTGGTGGAGAGAGTGGTGTGAAGGGGCTGACGTGAATCAAGATTGTGTAGGGTCGGCGGCGTTTAGGCACTGACGTGATCGGTGCATGGATCATTGTGCTCTTGTGCTGGCACCACTTCACAGGGGAGATGAGCGCGGGAGCACCCCGCTTGCATTGCAAGAGTGTGTAGGGCCGGCGTTAAGGCACTGAGCTGATCGGTGCATGGATCATTGTGCTCTTGTGCTGGCACCACTTCACAGGAAATGACTGTCTTGGGTTGCGTGATATGTGCTTGCAGTGGCATGTGAGCTGCGTTAAGGCACTGACGTGATCGGTGCATGGATCATTGTGCTCTTGTGCTTGCACCACTTCACAAGGCAGACGTGCACGGGAGCACTCCTTGTGCAGGGCGGCAGTCAGGTTGGTCCTTTTGAGGTGCGTAGAAACAGCATCTCAGAACTGACCTGATCGGTGCATGGGTCATCACCCTCCTGTGCTTGCACCACCTCACAGGGCAGATGTGCACGGGAGCACTCCTTGTGCAGGGCGGCAGTCAGGTTGGCGGGGTGCAAGGGGGGCGGCATGTGTTGTCTCCATGCGGCGTCTGAACCCGCAATGAGGATGGTTAGAGAGGAGCGGATGGGCGGCTGGAGACTGAGAGAGGGGGAGAGGGGAGCGGGGGGTGTAGGGGGTACGGAGAGGGGGCAGGTGGAAGGGGGAAGAAAGAGGTGCAGAGGGTTGACACGAGGATGGTAAGAGAGGAGCGGACGGGCGGCTGGAGACTGAGAGGTGGGGAGAGGGGGGGGAGGAGAAGTGGGGGAAAGAGGAAGAGGGGGGGGAAAGAGGAAGAGGGAGCATGAGAGAGGGTTAGACATGAGGATGGTTAGAGAGGAGCGGACGGGCGGCTGGAGACTGAGAGGTGGGGAGAGTCAGAAGAGGGGAAAGGGCAGCAAAGTATGGAGGAGGGAAAAAACGTGGGGAGGAAAAAAAACGAAGGAGAGGTGAGAAAAAAGATAAGGAGCCGAAGGGGGTGGAAGGGGGTGGAAGGGGGTGGAAGGGGGTGGAAGGGGGTGGAAGGGGGAAGAAAGAGGTGGAGTAAAGGGGGAGGGGAAGAAACAAACGGAGGGGAAGAAAAGAGGGGAGGGGAAGAAAACCGGGGAGGGGAAGAAAAGAGGGGAGGGGAAAGAGAAGACAAAAACTGGATGAGGTTAAGGGAGAACCAATGGCATCATTCCAGCATGCATGGTGACACACGGCATCATTCCAGCATGCATGGTGACACACGGCATCATTCCAGCATGCATGGTGACACACGGCATCATTCCAGCATGCATGGTGACACACGGCATCATTCCAGCATGCATGGTGACACACGGCATCATTCCAGCATGCATGGTGACACACGGCATCATTCCAGCATGCATGGTGACACACGGCATCATTCCAGCATGCATGGTGACACACGGCATCATTCCAGCATGCATGGTGACACACGGCATCATTCCAGCATGCATGGTGACACACGGCCTCATTCCAGCATGCATGGTGACACACGGCATCATTCCAGCATGCATGGTGACACACGGCATCATTCCAGCATGCATGGTGACACACGGCATCATTCCAGCATGCATGGTGACACACGGCATCATTCCAGCATGCATGGTGACACACGGCATCATTCCAGCATGCATGGTGACACACGGCCTCATTCCAGCATGCATGGTGACACACGGCCTCATTCCAGCATGCATGGTGACACACGGCATCATTCCAGCATGCATGGTGACACACGGCATCATTCCAGCATGCATGGTGACACACGGCATCATTCCAGCATGCATGGTGACACACGGCATCATTCCAGCATGCATGGTGACACACGGCATCATTCCAGCATGCATGGTGACACACGGCATCATTCCAGCATGCATGGTGACACACGGCATCATTCCAGCATGCATGGTGACACACGGCATCATTCCAGCATGCATGGTGACACACGGCATCATTCCAGCATGCATGGTGACACACGGCCTCATTCCAGCATGCATGGTGACACACGGCCTCATTCCAGCATGCATGGTGACACACGGCATCATTCCAGCATGCATGGTGACACACGGCATCATTCCAGCATGCATGGTGACACACGGCCTCATTCCAGCATGCATGGTGACACACGGCCTCATTCCAGCATGCATGGTGACACACGGCCTCATTCCAGCATGCATGGTGACACACGGCATCATTCCAGCATGCATGGTGACACACGGCATCATTCCAGCATGCATGGTGACACACGGCCTCATTCCAGCATGCATGGTGACACACGGCATCATTCCAGCATGCATGGTGACACACGGCCTCATTCCAGCATGCATGGTGACACACGGCATCATTCCAGCATGCATGGTGACACACGGCATCATTCCAGCATGCATGGTGACACACGGCATCATTCCAGCATGCATGGTGACACACGGCATCATTCCAGCATGCATGGTGACACACGGCCTCATTCCAGCATGCATGGTGACACACGGCCCTCACAGTCCGATCGTTAAGGTTCTTCAAAAATATTGAGCGTTATTGAGGGGTCAATATCTATCTTCCTACCAGCCTTTCTTGGATGGCATATGCACCGCGTGTGATGAGTCGATTTTTAAGTCGACTTAAAAATATCTATCTTCCTACCAGCCTTTCTTGGATGGCATATGCACATACCGGCATGTATGGCGTAGGGCTGATCGGACAATGGCTGCACGGCTGTCACAGCCAAGCCCTGTATCAGCATCCCCACTGCCACTGCTGCTGCCGCCACCTCTGCCGCCACCACCATCAACACTGCTGCTCCGCTGCTCCTTAGCTATGGCAGAGGCTGCAGCGTGCTCTGAATGTTCGAGATTATCATCACCAGCAGCAGCAGGCAGCACGGGATCTCGCAGCAGCACCACGCGATCAAAACACACCACTGAAGAACTGGTGTCAGCAGTAGAGGCTTTGGCAGCAGTGCTGGTGGCAGTGGCCGTGGTGGTGGTGGCGGGCGGAGCAAATGGAGGAAAGGCGGCATCTCCAAGGGTGGCCTTGAGTAGCAGCGATGCCCATGGGGAGGCGTGGGGCAGCTGGGAGGGAGAAGGGGGGGGTGAAGCAAATGGGAGGGAAGGAGAGGGACGGAAGGGGAAAGGGGCGATTGGGAGCAAATGACTTATAGCCCTTGGGGAGACGTGGGGCAGCTTGGAGAGGGGGTAAGGGTGGGAGGGAGAGGGGAATTGGAGCAGGGGGGAGGGGCTGAAGGGTAAGCAGGGGGGAGGGGCTGAAGGGTAAGCAGGGGGGAGGGGCTGAAGGGTAAGCAGGGGGGAGGGGCTGAAGGGTAAGCAGGGGGGAGGGGCTGAAGGGTAAGCAGGGGGGAGGGGCTGAAGGGTAAGCAGGGGGGAGGGGCTGAAGGGTAAGCAGGGGGGAGGGGCTGAAGGGTAAGCAGGGGGGAGGGGCTGAAGGGTAAGCAGGGGGGAGGGGCTGAAGGGTAAGCAGGGGGGAGGGGCTGAAGGGTAAGCAGGGGGGAGGGGCTGAAGGGTAAGCAGGGGGGAGGGGCTGAAGGGTAAGCAGGGGGGAGGGGCTGAAGGGTAAGCAGGGGGGAGGGGCTGAAGGGTAAGCAGGGGGGAGGGGCTGAAGGGTAAGCAGGGGGGAGGGGCTGAAGGGTAAGCAGGGGGGAGGGGCTGAAGGGTAAGCAGGGGGGAGGGGCTGAAGGGTAAGCAGGGGGGAGGGGCTGAAGGGTAAGCAGGGGGGAGGGGCTGAAGGGTAAGCAGGGGGGAGGGGCTGAAGGGTAAGCAGGGGGGAGGGGCTGAAGGGTAAGCAGGGGGGAGGGGCTGAAGGGTAAGCAGGGGGGAGGGGCTGAAGGGTAAGCAGGGGGGAGGGGCTGAAGGGTAAGCAGGGGGGAGGGGCTGAAGGGTAAGCAGGGGGGAGGGGCTGAAGGGTAAGCAGGGGGGAGGGGCTGAAGGGTAAGCAGGGGGGAGGGGCTGAAGGGTAAGCAGGGGGGAGGGGCTGAAGGGTAAGCAGGGGGGAGGGGCTGAAGGGTAATGCACGATTGAGGGCAAAGGGAGGGAAGGCGGCGTCTCCACCCGTGGGGAGGCGTGGAGCAAGCAGGGAGCAGCTGGGATGGGGTTGAAGGTGAGCAGGGAGAACGGGCGGAGAAAGAGGGACGGGGGGTATGCGGTGCCTATCCAGGAGAAGAAAGAAAGGCCTGTTTTTTAGTCGAATCAAAAAGAGGCAGAAAGGAGACGAATAGCCATTTCCAAAAATTTCCAAGGGAGTATGTTTACTCACTGCTGATTGCAGTCTATCCCCGTGGAAGAGCAGTAGACGGGAGGGAGCAAAGCACCCTTCGGACCTCCTCCACGCGGCTAATCTCGCTGCCAGATGGAACACTGCAAACGGATCGTCAAACCCTAGCAGCGCCCCCAGACCTGCATCCGCCCCCTTGTGTGTGATATCATCATTCTCTGTGCTGCTGCTTGTGCTTGTGATGGTGGTGGTGGAGGGAGTGGAGGCGAAGACAGTGGTTCCGGAGAGGTGGAGTGCGGTGACAGGGGATGAGATGGCTTCGGAGAGAGAGAGCTCCACTGCTGGTTCGGACTCCTCAGCTACCTGTGACGGGATGAAAGGATGAGCAGGGCGGGAAGAGGAAGAGCTGGGATGTGTGAGTGTGCATGCGGGTTAGAGTGCGTGCATGTGTGCGTGCATGTGTGCGTGCATGTGTGCGTGCATGTGTGCGTGCATGCACATACGCGTGCGCTGAGAATGGCCGGCACGGGTAACAGCCAGCATGAGCAGGTGGTTTGAAGCACTCATTCGCAGGCACACGGCGTGCTTGCGAGCAGCAGCACTGCGAATGGGCAGCACGTGCGGGTGGTGGGTGCTCTCCAAGGTGGGCAGGAAGGAAGGCAGGCTAAGTGGGTCTGATAACTATGCCTGTTAGAAGCTGCTGGGTGGCCTAGAGGACTCACCCACAGGCACACGGCGTGCTTGCGAGCAGCAACACTGGGACTGGGCAGCACGCGCCCCTACCTCAAGCCAATGGGAATGGGCAGCACGCGCGGGTGGGAGCACTCCAAAGGAGGAAGAAAGGAATTCCTGGTCTAGACTGAGCGGGTTTGACAACTCACCCTGTGAGGTTGCTGCCTAGATTACTCACCCGCAGGCACACGGCATGCTTGGGAGCAGCATCCCCCGGAGCAGAGAGCACGCGCGTTTGGGTGCTCTCTAAGCCGGGGGAGGAAGCGGCGGTCAAGGCTACTCACCGGGACAACAAACAACAACAGCAAAGCAGGTTCTATCTGGCTCTTCCAGACTCACCCGCAGGCACACGGCATGCTTGGGAGCAGCATCCCCCGGAGCAGAGAGCACGCGCGTTTGGGTGCTCTCTAAGCCGGGGAGGAAGCGGTGGTCAAGGCTACTCACCGGGACAACAAACAACAACAGCAAAGCAGGTTCTATCTGGCTCTTCCAGACTCACCCGCAGGCACACGGCATGCTTGGGAGCAGCATCCCCCGGAGCAGAGAGCACGCGCGTTTGGGTGCTCTCTAAGCCGGGGAGGAAGCGGTGGTCAAGGCTACTCACCGGGACAACAAACAACAACAGCAAAGCAGGTTCTATCTGGCTCTTCCAGACTCACCCGCAGGCACACGGCATGCTTGGGAGCAGCATCCCCCGGAGCAGAGAGCACGCGCGTTTGGGTGCTCTCTAAGCCGGGGAGGAAGCGGTGGTCAAGGCTACTCACCGGGACAACAAACAACAACAGCAAAGCAGGTTCTATCTGGCTCTTCCAGACTCACCCGCAGGCACACGGCATGCTTGGGAGCAGCATCCCCCGGAACAGAGAGCACACACGGGTGGGCGCTCCCCAAGAGGGGGGAGAAGGAGAGAAGCCAAGGTCTAAATTTTTGCGGGTTTGACAACTCACCCTGTTCTAGGCTGGGCGGGTTGGGAGTAGCTCAAAAGACTCACCCGTAGGCACACAGCGTGCTTGGGAGCAGCATCCCCGGGAACAGATAGCACGAGCGGGTGGGCACTATCCAAAGCAGGAAGGAAGCGGCGGTAACGGCGGGGAATGAGGTGGAGGAAGGTGGTTGGCAGGGATGCGTTGAGAATGGGGGAGAAGAGGAGGGGCGCCGGGGGCACACGAACCTTTGGCTCCTGGTTGGAAAAAAGAGGTGGAAAGAGTGGTGGAGGTAGGGGGAGGGGTGTGGAGGAGAGGAGAGGAGGGGAGAGTGAATGCGCGGAAAAGAGAGGCATTGAGGATGAGGGAGAACATTCGCGTTTTGAGTCGACTCAAAACTCGACTCATTACACGCGGAGGGGAGAGTGAATGCGCGGGAAAGAGAGTCATTGAGGATGGGGAGAAGATTCGCGGAGGGTGAGAGTAGAGAACGAAACTTGGTTTTCTACTTGGAGAGAGGCAGGAGAGAAGAAGAGAAAACATGTGCTCTTATAGCTGCACTGCTTTGAATTTTGAGGCGCCTCATAATTCAACTCAGTAGAGGCAGGACAGAAGAAGAGAAAACATGTGCTCTTACAGCTGCACTGCACTGCCCTTGCACACACTCACGTATATGTTCAAGTCCTTGTACATGACTGTGACTAGACATGAGCAACGGGCGAACACCAAACGTGTTTGCCCGAACGTCCCCGAACAGTATAATTGGGCGAACCGAACATGTTCTGTTCGCCAGAACATTATATTCACATTTCGCATGTTCGGTGTTTGGTTAGTGTGGGCAAAGATGTTTAAAGTTCGCCGAACCTCTACATGTTCGGCCAATTCCGAACATGTTTGGTGTTCGAAAATAAGGACTTAGCAGATTCACTGAGTTAACAGATTTCACCACTCCTGTTTCACGACTTGAAGTACAACACCTGCCCATACATGTTTAGGGGGTGGGAAACACGGGGAAAGAGGGCAGGGCGAGTGGGAAGAACGTATGTTACTTTAAAAAACGACTAACTAGCGACAAATTAACCTAAGTAACCGTTAAGTTGGGTCGAAATGTCCTCGATCTATGGTTTCCATAGGACTTACATCCAACCAGCGCGACAAATGTCGCGCTCGTTTTTTCTGAACATCTAATGTTTGGAAAAGCGGGGACGTTTCCCGAACATGTTTGGTGTTCGGGATTTGTCCCCATAAACATTTCGAACACCGAACATGTTCGGAACGAACCCCGAACATGTTCGGTTGAACCTTATTTCCAAAAAAGAAGGTTCGAACATGTTTGAAACGAACATGTTTGAAACGAACATGTTTGAAACGAACATGTTTGAAACGAACATGTTTGAAACGAACATGTTTGAAACGAACATGTTTGAAACGAACATGTTTGAAACGAACATGTTTGAAACGAACATGTTTGAAACGAACATGTTTGAAACGAACATGTTTGAAACGAACATGTTTGAAACGAACATGTTTGAAACGAACATGTTTGAAACGAACATGTTTGAAACGAACATGTTTGAAACGAACATGTTCGACCTGAACCTGTTTGAGGTTTGGAAAAGTGCTCATGTATAACTGTGACTGTGCTGGTGCTCTCGAGAGGGATAAAATGGAACCTAACTGTAGGACCTCTTATAGCTGCACTGAACACTGCTCACACTCACGTATATGTATGAGTCTTTATGCATGACTGTGACTGCATCGATTGTGCTCTTAAGAGGCATGAGACCCATGTGGGTTGCAAGGTCGTTGAGACACCTCCCCCTGTGGTGTAGGGTGGACGGTGGGCGGAAGAAAAGGCGGGGAAAGGGGAGGAGAGGGGGGGTGTGGTTTGGATGGAGGTACAAATGCGTTGGTTGTGTTGGGAGGGCGCAAAGAGCACTATTTGGCTTACAGACCAGAATAACAGTCGGCACTCAGGTACTTGGGTAGTGCGAATCATATCGGGAAGAGGCGCAGAGCAGACAGCTGAATGCAGCCAACACCTCAAATGGAAATTTCGGTTGAGTCGACTCGAACGGCGGAGCGCACACGCTTTAGAGCACAAATGGCATGGCGGACTGAAATTGGCATGTCAGCATATCACGTTCACATGTCACACACTCACATTGTCACACTCAGTCACATGTCACACTCACATGTCACTCTCACATGCCCCACTCACACGCCCCACTCACATGCCCCACTCACATTCCCCACTCACATGCCCCACTCACATGCCCACTCACATGCCCCACTCACATGCCCCACTCACATGGCCCACTTACATGGCAGGAGCAGGCGGCAAGGGGAAGGGCCCTTGGACCTCCTGTGTTGAGTCGTACACAGTCAGCGGTGACAGGTCAGACAGATGAGTCACCAACATGTTCATTGCCACATCAGCACACGCCCTAGCCGCCGGATTCCACAGACCGCCTTCACTCCCTCCCCCACTCCCTCCCTCACTCCCTCCTGCACCCTCTCCCCCACCCTCTCCCCCACCGTCTCCCTCGCTCCCCCACTCCAAATACCCCCTCGCCTCCTCCCTCATAGTGCAGCAAAAATAATGCAGGTAGTTTCTATGCAGCAGAAGAGCACCGGTAACCACTGAGTAGTCCCCTCCCGGCCCCAGGGAAGCATGCACGGCCAGTCGCCCTTTGAGGACGCCCTTGGAGAGGCGGAAGTGGGCGGACGGGAGGAAACCGAGGAGGCGGTTGGGGGTTTCCCGCCATCGCAGGAGAGATGTGGCGAGGAGAGCAGGGGGCACTAGGAATGTGTCGTCTATCACCAAGACAGCAGCTGTGGTGAGGGAGCTGACAGGGGAACGGGCAGAGAGAGAGACAGGAAGGGAGAAGGGAGCATGGGATAATCACCCAGGGTAGCATGCACGGCCAGTCTCCCAGTCAGTCGCCTTTTGAGGACGCCCTTGGAGAGGCGGAAGTGGGCTGAAGGGAGGAATCCGAGCAGGCGGTTGGGTGCTTCCCTCCATCGCAGGAGGGATGTGGCGAGGAGAGCAGCAGGGGGCACCAGAATGGTGTCATCAATTACAAGGACTGTCACTGTGGAGAGATGTCTGCTGGGAAAAGGGGTAGAGGGCGCAATAGGAGACAAGGGAAGTGGTAGTTGCGGAGAAAGAAGCGAGGCAGATGTGTGTGGAGCGGAGGTTTTTGAGGCGCCTCAAAAAGAGAGGTCTGCTGGGAAAAGGGTAGAGGGCGCAAGAGGAGACAAGGGAAGTGGTAGTTGCGGAGAAAGAAGAGCGGCAGAGGTGTGTGGAGTGGAGGGGATGAAGCCGAGGTAATCGGATTTTTGGGGGGGTGCACTCGTAGGCAGGATGGGTCTGAAGCAAGCAATTGCTGCTGGGTTGCCGAGTGGAAAAATAAACTTCTCTCTCTCCTTGCCCTGGAGGGAAGGGGCTGCTGCTGCTGCTACCACTGCTGCCATCGTTGTCGTATAAAACAGAGGATCATTCCATAACTTGTACTCACGGGATGGGTCGGAAGCGAGCAGTTGCTGGTGGGTTGCGGAGTGGGAGAACAACAACAGGCCTCTCGCCCTGCACCAGGGGAAAGGGGCTGCTGCTGGCGCTGCCACTGCTGCCACTGCTTTGGGCGAGTGGGCTGTCGTCAGACAGAAGGACGAAGATGTCTTGAACCACAGGCGCTGAGGCATAGTGGCGAATGGCTTGCATGGTCTGGTGTGTGCTGCTGCCTGTTGCTGTGAGCACCACGGTCAGCTTGTCGTAGCGCACACTGCAGGGGTGGGTGGGAATAGATAAACACGTGTATATGAAAGAGTTAGAGAAGCAGCAGGCGCTGAGGCGTATTGATGTGTGGCTTGCATGGTTTGGTGTGTGCTGCTGCCTGTTGCTGTGAGCACCACGGTCAGCTTGTCGTAGCGCACACTGCAGGGGTGGGAACAGATAAACACGTGTATATGAAAGAGTTAGAGAAGCAGCAGGATGGATGCTAGGACGGAATGATGGAATGATGCACATGTACGCATACATGCACATGTACGTATAAATGCACATGTACGTATAAATGCACATGTACGTATAAATGCACATGTACGTATAAATGCACATGTACGTATAAATGCACATGTACGTATAAATGCACATGTACGTATAAATGCACATGTACGTATAAATGCACATGTATGCACACATGAGCACACCTTAACTACACAAGCAGAAACAGAAACCTCGACACGATTCATCACTAGCCGAATCTTGAACGAGAAAGTTCAAGCAACTCCAAAAAATCGCCTGGCACTTGTCAGTCTTCCCTCTTGGCAAATGGAAGAAAGACGGGCATATTCACCGCTCGCCGCTCTCTAGTTATGAGGCGCCTGAAAACGAGACACTTGCAGCATCGCATCATGTGAAATGCGCACCTGCCATTGGTGGTCGCTCCCTCCTCTTGGCAGATGGAAGAAAGAGGGGTATATTCACCACCCGCCCCAAGGGTCTCAACTCCCCCATCCCCTTCCCCTGCTGCTGCATCCCTACCAGACAGCTCACTTGCGTCAGTGCTGCCACCATCTCCATTCCCAGCTGCTTTAGTGTTAGCCATGGCTTTTGTAAGAGCCTTCAGCATGTCATTGTGAGCAGCGAGCCAGATGTGGTCCAAGCTGCGAGTGGTGGGGAACTGGGGGGGGAGTGGGATTGAATGCGGTGGAGAGAGAATGAGTGCGGTGCCTTCACCAAGGGCCTTCAGGTTCAGGATGTTGTTGTGAGCAGCGAGCCAGATGTGGTCCAAGCTGCGAGTGGTGGGGAACTGGGCCAAGATAGTGGGGTGGAGAGCCATTCAATGCGGAGAAGAGGGGTGACAATGTGTGCAACAAGCCAGCTATTGCGCTACTTGTTTTTCTGATTTCCCCACCAAAAAAAAGTGCCGTGCCCTGCAGTACTGTCACCTCCGTTTACCCACTTTGTTAAGTTAAAACCACTCCTGTTATAGTAACCTGCCTGCTCGTCCTCCTTGGTGTTCCAAGGCTTGGTGCTGCCCGAGAAGTGCAGCACCCTCAGCTCAGCTGTGGCTGCGCAGATCACTCCCACCCCCCTCCAATCCCTCCAATCTCTTCCCACCCCATCGTTCCCTTCCCAGGCTGCCACCCACCCACTCCATTTCCAGTTGTGATACACGCTCACTCCCCTCTTAACCACTTTCAGTATAGTCACCTGCCTGCTTGTCCTCCATGGTGTTCCAAGGCTTGGTGCTCCCTGAGAAGTGCAGCACCCTCAGCTGCGGCTGCACAAACTTCTCCCACCCCTCCCACCCGCTGAGGCGCACGAGCGGGTTGAAGGCGTAGGGCAGGTGGTGGGAGGGGCCTTGGGAATACCAGTCGGAAAAGTAGTTGTTGAGAAAGCCCTGATCGCCCACGTTGGGTGACTTGGTGGTGGCGACCTGAATAGGAGGAGAACGGGGAGCAGTGGGGAGAGAAGCGGAGGCAGGGGACGGGCTGAGGCGAACAAGTGGGTTGACGGCGTAGGGCAGGTGGTGGGAGGGACCCTGAGAGTACCAGTCGGAAAAGTAGTTGTTGAGCAAGCCCTGATCGCCCACGTTGGGTGACTTGGTTGTTGCTACCTGAGAGGGGGGATGGAGAACGGAGAAAGGCAGGTGGGGGAGGAAGGGATAGTGGAGGAAATGGGGTGGAAAACATATTCGAGTGACGTTTGAGAATTCTCAAAAGTCACTCGAAGGGGTAGTGGAGGAAATGGGGTGGTAAACAAGGGGAAGGGAGGGAGGGAAGTGCAACACCCTGAGCTGCGGCGGCTGCACGAACCGCTTCTGAGGTGACTCAAAAACTGCTCCCACTCGTCCCACCATCCCTTTGGCTCACTCACTTACACCTCACATTACTCAGCACATTCCTAAACGTGCCGTCACTCGGGGCCACCACCATCAGTCGACTGTTGGAGCGGTCAGGAGGGATGGTGTCCGGTGAACTGACTTTTGAGTCAACTCAAAAGTCAGTCGACTGTTGGAGCGATCAGGAGGGATGGTGTCCGGTGCAGCAGAGAGCTCATTCCTGCTTACTTCTACTCTACCCCCATATACCTTTCTTTCACCTCTCCTCACCTTACTCAGCATATCCCTGAACATGTCGTCACTCGGCGCCACCACCATGAGCCCACCATTGAAGCGGTCAGGAGGGATGGTGTCCGGTGCAGCAGAGAGCTCACTGTACTGCTTGCTTACTCACCTTACTCAGCATATCCCTGAGAGTGTCATCATTAGGAGCCACCACCACCAAACCAAGCCATTGTTGGAGCGGTCAGAAAGGGGATGGTGTCTGGCGCAGCAGAAAGCTCATTCCTTCTACCCCCTCCCCTTCCCCATACCTTTCCCTCCTTCACCTACTGCTTGCAAACCCACCTTACTTAGCATGTCTCTGAACGTGGCGTCACTAGGCGCCACCACCATCAAGCCACTGTTGAAGCGGTCAGGAGGGATGGTGTCCGGTCCGGTGCAGCAGATAGCTCATCACTTACACCCCTTTTCCCTATACACATGCCTTCCCGCACCACCCACCTTGCTCAGCATGTCTCTGAACGTGTCGTCACTGGGCGCCACCACCATCAAGCCACTGTTGAAGCGGTCAGGAGGGATGGTGTCCGGTGCAGCCGAGAGCTCATCGCGGCAGAAGAGGTCGTCGAGGCTGCTCATTACAAGAAGGTCCGCATCGACATAGACCAAGCGGTGGTACTCCGTGAGCGTCCACATCCACAGCTTGGAATACCTGACGGGAGAGGGAAAAGAGGAGGAGAAGGTAGGGAGGAGAGGGATGGGTGGAGGGATACAGCAGAGAGCTCATCGCGGGAGAAGAGGCCGTCCAGGCTGCTCAATACGAGCAGGTCCGCATCGACGTAGACGAGACGTCAGTGTGGTATTCCAAGCTGTTGATGTGAGAGTCCACATCAACAGCTTGGAATACCTGATGGAAGGGGGGGTGGGGTGGGGTGGAGAAGGGAGGAAGTGGGGGTTTGGGGGCTGGGCTGGCACGGCGCTTAACCCACATGGAAATGATTATCAGTGATATCGCAACTTGCTCTGCAATGCTCAACTACGGTTTGTTCCTTTGGAGCCTAAGTATAAACAGTGAGATCGCCTGAGGATAGGATGCAGGGGACGAAACGTCACCTCGTCAGTATCTACCGAAAATCGCCTCTCCCACCCACCCACCCACCTGCACGGCTTGTTGATGGCGAATCTGTTGGGAGTAGCAGGAAACGGGTACCGAATGGCCTCTTCAATCTGCTTCACCCTAGCTCCCAGCAGCTGCAGCCGCATCGCAGTGCCGTCACTCACGTTCATCGTCAGCACCACCACGTCGTGCAGCGTGCCCGTGCGCGATGGGGTGCAAGGGGGAACCATTCCACTCCCCAATATCTACCAAAAAACGCCTCTCCCACTCCACCCACCTGCACGGTTTGTTGATGGCGACTCGGTTCGGAGTGGCTGGAAAGGGATAAGGAATGGCCTCCTCGATCTGCTTCACCCTCGCTCCCAGCAGCTGCAGCTGCGCCGCCGTCACCTCGCTCACGTTCATCGTCAGCACCACCACGTCGTGCGGCGTGCCAGTGCGCTTCAGCGAATGCACCAGCACCAGGGCTCCCGGCGCCATGACGTCATCGCAGAGGAGCGTGACGTAAGCGTAGCGAAGGGTGGACGGATCGCGACTGAGAAGGGCCGCTTCGCGTCTCCTGTTTAACTCCTGAAGCTTCTTTCTCTCCCTCAGCTGCTCTCTCTCCCTAGCTTCCTCCTCAGTCTCCTCTGACTCTTCCGTCCCCTCCCTCTCCTCCTCATCCTCCCCTTTATTCCCTCTACCTTCCACCTCCGTGGATTTCTCGCTCCTTCCTCTGCTCTCCTCCGAGTCAAATCCATATCCATTCCTGCTGCTGCCGTCGCTGCTGCTGCTGGCTTCGGTGCCGTTTTGGCTCCGTAGTCTGTGAATGTGACAGTAAGGAGCCTGGTCGACAGGAGGGGGTGCTGGTGTGAACACGGAACGCCATAGTAAAGTCGCTAGGCTTGTGACAATACCGGGGTGTGACTCTACCTGCCGTTTGGACTGCTGAGCCGCCGTAGAGTCGTAACTGGTAGTTATCTCCGCCTGGTTGTTAAACTGCTGTTTTCGCCGCTGCTCCTCCTGAAACTTACGCCTTCCCCTCGCATCATGATTAAACTCCTCCGAATACAGCGCATTCTCGTTATAATATCTCCCGCTTCCTGCATTTGCGTAAGTACTCCTTGTCGTCTGTCCCCTCTCCTGCCACCCAAACCCTCTCCCATACGCACCCCTACCCTGACCGTCCGATTCTGCGAAGAACTGTGATCGAACGTACGGTCCAGATTCCACGTACGGTTCCCAACGTGGGCCTGCGATGCCTTGGAAGAGGAGAATGACGATGCAGACCGCTCCGAACTTCCAGATGAGCTTCAGGTTTCGCACGCGCCTACCAAGCTTATCCGCGGAGACTAGGAGCCTTCTAGCTCGCCGCAGCGACTGCTTCTTAACGCTCAGGAGCCATCGCGACATCCCGACGACAACTACGGCGAACACGTGAAGCCATAACCATGTCACTTTTAATAAAAGCTAAGTCATTAAAACAAATCAAGCGTTCCCCATCCGTTGTAGTCTAGTCGGTTAGGATATTCGGCTCTCACCCGAAAGACCCGGGTTCAAGTCCCGGCAACGGAAGACTATTTTCCCCTTTTTGCCTGGCCGTAACACATTACGGTTCATTCACTGTTCAATGCGTCACGGTCCACTTTGAACCGTCTGTAACAGCTTTGCGCCATGACGGATGACAGGTACAATAGTGACTCATGAACGCGCTGACCCGCCCTTACCCCAGTGCTGCAATACAGCATCAGCTCGAAAATCAACATGGGGTTAATGTATACCGTATTACAAAAATAAAGGGAACACGAAGAACCGGTACTTGAAGCACCCGAGAGCAGCTAGGTAAGAAGGGCACTTCCGTTTTTACGCACTAGTCCTACCAAAATCTCCGACATTTCTATTTGACCGGCAGAGAATCAATAGTAGTCCGCGCCGATACTGCGAGTCCGCCTCTGCTTCTGTGCGCCGGCTGTCTCCTGGTCTTGCTTCCTCATCATGGCTGCAAACTCCTCATAGTCAATCGTACCGCTCTGGAAATACACACAAGAGCGAAGCCAAGGGCGTGCAGTGCACACACACGTGCACATGAAAGAGAGTTAGGTTGCTGGTTTTATCTCCTGCTTTCGACTTAGGGCGTATTCCTACGGCCTCCTATCAAGATTGTACCTTTTGCCTGGTAAAAGTAGCGAGAGATTTTGGGTTTAGGGAATTTTCCAGTGAGAGCTTGATAGGAGGTTTTCTTGATAGGAGGATAGGAATACGCCCTTACACCTCATTATGGCTGCAATGCTCATCATTCCCAAACACATGAAACTTTCCCTCTAACCTGAACAAGTGTTCCTGCCCACCCATCAAACACAGGCTCTCTACTCCCGTCCCGTTCTCCCTCGCCCTCTCACCTTATCCGTGTCCACCTCCTCAATTGTATTCTCCAGTTCCCCTGGCTCCAGCATGTCCCCATTCACCTTGATCCCTTACAAATCTCTCCCCTCCACCGTCCGTAACACCCAACATACTGCATCATCCCTCACCTTATCCGTGTCCACCTCTTCAATGATCTGCTCCAGCTCGCCCGGCTCCAGCATGTCCTCATTCGCCAGGGCGTCCCTCAGCTCGCTCACTGTGATGAACCTGTCGTGGAAGAGGGAAAATTGTGCGGAGTCACAGGGTGTAACCATCAGGTGGTAACCAGAGAGCTGATGCATTATTTTCAAGACCTCCTCTCATCTACAATCGTGTAGCCTGCTGTGATTGCAGTTGCAGTGTTAGGGACCTCATAGATCTCTGAACTCATCTCACGCGCCCATCCGCTCTCCCATCTCACCCGCTCCCATCGCGGTCGAAGTGCTGGAAGGCCTTCCAGATGTGTTCCTCCTTCTCCACCTTGTTCATCTGCATCGTCGCTGTGATGAACTCCGTGTAGTCGATCGTGCCGCTGTGGTCCATGTCCGCCTGGGTGGGGAACGGAATGCACGCACGAAGAAAAGAGGGGACAGGAAGTGAGGTAAGTGGGAGTAGAAGGCCCAACAGCTTTAAGCATGCTGTGATGAACTCCGTGTGGTCGATCGTGCCGCTGTGGTTCATGTCCGCCTGGAAAGGAGGTGTGAAGAGGGGGATGGGAATAGAAGTGATGGGAGAACGGTGATCCACAACTCAGAACATACTGTGATGAACTCCGTGTAGTCGATCGTGCCACTGTGGTCCATGTCCGCCTGGGAGAGGAAGACGTGGACAGGGGAAGGTGTGGAGAGGGGTTAGGAGTGGTGTGAGAGGGTGTGATGAACTCCGTGTAGTCAATGATGCCGCTGTGGTCCATGTCCGCCTGCCACCCGATGGAAGATAGGAATGGGGAGTTTGGAGTGGTGTGAGAGGGAGGGCGTGATGGGATGTAATCCTCATTCTCGACCTTGCTCATCTGTTGCGTTGCCGTGATGAGCTCTGTGTAGTCCAGTCGGGGGACAAGGGGAAGGACAGGGGGAGTGGGGTTTTCCTCTTTGCTCCCTACCCCTCGCACCCATACAACCTCGCCCCACCACCCTGCCCTTCTCAATGTATCGCGTATCGCACCACCTATCCCATCCTCTCCCACATACCACCTGCATGATTTGATGCAGCTGCTCCTCAATCATGGGGTTACCCAGCTTCTGTCACCCTCGTCTTGTCCAAACCTCCCTCTCTTACCGCTTCCATGATCTGCTGAAGCTGCTCCTCCGACTTGGGGATACCCAGCTTCTGCACACCCTGCTTGCTGACCCATGTAGACTTGCATGCAACCTCACACCCCCGCCTTCCCCCTCTTACCGCTTCCATGATCTGCTGGAGCTGCTCCTCCGACATGGGGTTGCCCAGCTTCTGCATGCCCCATTCTTACTGCCCTTGTACCTCATCCCACCATCCCATCGCCCATTCTCACCGCTTCCATGATCTGCTGCAGCTGCTCCTCCGACATGGGGTTGCCCAGCTTCTGCATGCCGGTCTTGAGCTCAGCAAACGTGATGCTGCCGCTGCCGTCCTTGTCCATCCCCTTGAACAGCTTCTTCAGCCCCAGGATCTCCTCGCGACTCAGATTGCACGCAATGACCTGTAACGGGATAAATGGAAAATGGGCAAGAAGGTTAGTCAGAGGAGCAAGGGAGCCGTCCATGTCCATCCCCTTGAACAGCTTCTTCAGCCCCAGGATCTCCTCGCGGCTCAGGTTGCACGCAATCACTTGGATGGGAGGAGAACAGCAGCGAAGGCCAGGAACAGAGCACAATCAAGGACAGAACTTTGATCAACACGAAGAGTGTTCCAGGGATTCCATAGACTTTTCACCTAAGTCAGGTCCTCTGGCAGTCAGCAGCACTCATACTCACATGGCTCTCATACCACGACTCCCTTCACCTTGAGCGCCAGCTTCTTCATCTTGTTGGCAGCAGAGGACTTCTTGATTCGCTTCAGCTCCCAACAGCCAGTCACTGGTTCCTCCTGCGATTGAAGGTTTCTCACGTCGTTTTTTAGGTTTCTCAACCCTCTCACCTTGAGCGCCAGCTTCTTCATCTTGTTGGCCTCAGAATCTTTCTCAGTTGCCTCAGCTCCCAGCAGCCAGTTACTGGTTCCTAATACGACTGAAGGTTTCTCAAGTCATCTCTCACCTTGAGCGCAAGCTTCTTCATCTTGTTGGCCGCAGAGAACTTCTTGATTCGCTTCAGCACCGCCTCTCCCAGCGGCTTGTCGGACTGCTTCTCGTGGGACAGCCACGGGTGGCCTGATAGGTGGGGAAGGACGTGGGGAAGGAGGTGGGGGGAGAGGGGGGGAACTTTTGAGTCGACTCCAAAGCTTTTTGATTCACAGCACCGCCTCTCCCAGTGGCCGGTTGGACTGCTTCTTGTGGGAAAACCATGGGTGGCCTGACAGTGGGGGGAGGGGAAAATTGGGGTGGGAAAATCTCATGGTGCGTTTGGATGCGCAGAGCAGGGTCGGGGTGCAGCAGCATGCGCTTGACCAGGTCCTTGGCCGAGTACGACACCTGTGGCCAGGGGACCGCTGCAGCCCCACCATCCTCACCTAACCCTCCCTTCCCTTGACCACATACGCACGTGCTGCTTCACTCACGGAGCACGTCAGCAGAGGAGATGCGCTGGGCAGGGTCGGGGTGCAGCATGCGTTTCACGAGGTCCTTGGCCGAGTCCGACACCTGCGGCCAGGGGTCTGCTGCAGCCCCACCATACCATCCCATCCCAGCCTAAGCCTCTCTTTGGCCACATGTCAACCCTCCCTTCCCCTAACCACATATGCACGTGCTGCTTCACTCACGGAGCACGTCAGCGGAGGAGATGCGCACAGAAGGGTCGGGGTGCAGCATGCGCTTGACCAGGTCCTTGGCCGAGTCCGACACCTGTGGCCAGGGGTCCGCTGCAAAGTCGGGGGTGGCCTTGAGCACCTGGTGGAAGATCTGCTTCTCCGTGTCTTAAGGGGAGGGAAGGGGGGAGAGTGGGGAGTGGGAGGGGTGGGAGGTAGGGGCAGGGAAAAAGCAGTCAGAAAAGGAGGATAAGGGGTCCGCTGCAAAGTCTGGGGTGGCCTTGAGTACCCGGTGGAAAATCTGCTTCTCCGTGTCTGGTGGTGGGGGGAGGGAGGGGCAGGCAGAGGAAGAGCAGTCGTTACAGGGGAATAGGGGGTCCGCTGCAAAGTCAGGACTCGCCTTGAGCACCTGGTGGAAGATCTGCTTCTCCGTGTCTGGTGGTGGGGGGAGGGAGGGGCAGGCAGAGGAAGAGCAGTCGTTACAGGGGAATAGGGGGTCCGCTGCAAAGTCAGGACTCGCCTTGAGCACCTGGTGGAAGATCTGCTTCTCCGTGTCTGGTGGTGGGGGGAGGGAGGGGCAGGCAGAGGAAGAGCAGTCGTTACAGGGGAATAGGGGGTCCGCTGCAAAGTCAGGACTCGCCTTGAGCACCTGGTGGAAGATCTGCTTCTCCGTGTCTGGTGGTGGGGGGAGGGAGGGGCAGGCAGAGGAAGAGCAGTCGTTACAGGGGAATAGGGGGTCCGCTGCAAAGTCAGGACTCGCCTTGAGCACCTGGTGGAAGATCTGCTTCTCCGTGTCTGGTGGTGGGGGGGGAGGGGGAGATGGCAGAAAGTAGTGAGTGGGGAGGGGAGATGAGTGGGGAGGGCCAGGGGTCCGGTGCAAAGTCGGGATTCGCCTTGAGCACCTGATGGAAGATCTGCTTCTCCGTGTCTGGTTGGGGAGAACGATGGGGGGAGGAGGGAGGAGGGGAGTTGGGAGGGGTGGAAGGGAGGGAGAGGGAAATAGTACAGGGGGATAAGGGATCCGCTGCAAAGTCCGGGGTGGCCTTGAGGACCTGGTGGAAGATCTGCTTCTCCGTGTCTGGTGGGAGAAGGCGGGAGAGGGGATGGGGGGTAACGAGTGAGATAAGGGGTCCGCTGCAAAGGCTGGGGTGGAAGATCTGCTTCTCCATGTCTGGTGGGGAGGGATAGGGGGGAAGGGGGGAGGAGGACGGGAATGGGGGAGGGAGTGAGGTAGAGCAGTCAGTACAGGGGAATAGAGGGTCCGCAGAGCAGTCACTCACCTCCCCAGAAGGGCGGGGTGCCGCTGAGCAGGATGAAGAGAATGACTCCGCAGCTCCACACGTCACACGCCTTGTCATACTTCCCCTTGAGCACCTCGGGCGCCACATAGAACGCGCTCCCCACCGTCTCAGTAAACACCTCCCCCTCCTTGTAAAACGACGACAGCCCGAAATCCGCCACCTTCAGCGGCGCATCCTCCCTCCGGTCCGCGAGCAGAAAATTCTCGGGCTTTAAGTCCCGGTGAATGACATTATTCTGGTGGCAGTGGTCGACCACCCCCATCATGGTTTTGAATAACGCCGATGCCGCCCGCTCGCTGTAGTGGCCCCGGGCGGCGATGCGGTCGAAGAGTTCGCCGCCCGCGCAGAGCTCCATGACAATGTGCACGTTGTGCTTGTCCTCGAAGGCGCCCCTCAGCTGCACGATGTGCGGGTGGCCGCCCAGGTGGTGCATGATGGCGATCTCCTTCCTGGGAGGAATCAGGGAGAAGACGGGGGGGGGACAGGAGGGGTACGCCTCTGAAACTACAGGCATGGTAGATCCCTGGTGAAAGGGAGGAGAGGAGGAGAGGAGGAGAGGAGATGAGACGGGTGTGGATCTGTGTGTGAAAGGGAGTTCGCTGCCAGCGCAGAGCTCCTTGACGATGTGCACGTTGTGCTTGTGCACGAAGGCACCTCGGAGTTGCACGATGTGCAGGTGGCCGCCCAGATGATGCATGATGGCGATGGCGATCTCCTTCCTGGGAGGTGGCAGAGAAACAGGGGGGATAGGGACGGCAAGCAACAGGGAGGAATGGAGGCAAAGGGGAGGGGAAAAAAGGGGAAGGCGCCCCTCAGCTCAGCTGCACGATGTGCGGGTGCCAGATGATGCACGATGACGATCTCCTTCCTGAGAGAACACAGGGAGCGCAAGGAGATGCATGATGGAAGATGCAATGCTTCACAAATGCAATGCCATGCCCCACATGCAATGCCATGCATCTTTCTTCCTTGAAAGCTCTGAGCGTCCAAAGCCCTTCACGCAATCGCAGCCGTTCAATGTCCTACATCTGACGCGCACATTGCACCCACCTGATATCCTCAACCTCTTCTTTGGACCCAATCCGTCGCTTGGCGAGCGACTTGCACGCGAGCTGCTCGCCCGTGACCTTGTCCGTGCACAGGTAAGTCACGCCGAACTGCCCCTTGCCCAGCTCCTTCCCCATCAGAAACTTGTCGCGGATGTCAGCCGGCGGCCGGCCCAGGATGTTGGACGTCAGCGAGCTCTTCTTGCGGAGAAACATTGTGACCCTTTTTTTTTCTATCAATATAAGAAAATGTGTCTTTTTGTGACGCTCCTGTCACGCGTTGAAGTCCGGATCACGTTCGGACGGGAAAGGCTGAGGGAGGGAGTTGGGTGGGATAGATGGTGGAAACGAAGATGTTATTAAATGTTAGAGAGAATGCACCTGGCGTAGGAGAGAGGGAGGGAAATGCGATGGGGGTGAATTGATTGAAGCTAGCACTCTCGATGGGCAACATTGGCTGAGCGATAACAACAAACCTCGGATGGGTTGTACAATTTGAGTTTCCTGACGCGAACTAAGGAAACATTGCGCTACGGTGGCCGACGAGATAGTGAGATGTTAAAAAATTGATCACGAGAGAAGCTGATCAGCTACGAGAAACGCAATGTGATGCAATCAACTCGCATTGACCTCTCTAAACTAGGTGTAGCCACGATGTTTTAGGCTGACAAGAAAAAATGTAAACTGGTTTCGCTGAAATTTCGGCTGCCACCCCCACATTGCTTCCTGCCAAAAATTAACGACTTGAGAACCACGCACCAGAACTTTGTACGAAGGGCAACGGCTTGGTTCTTCTATGTCAAATTGTTCGAAAATGGAGGGTTGAATGCTTCTCACATTTGATAGCTATGTGGCAATGGTGCGTAGCAGTTCCCAGAGGAGCTTGGGAGGGAGCGACCCGAGACCCAGGAAGGGAGACTGCGACGCTTATGAAACAGAATCGCAGAGCTTCCAAGAGTGAAGTGCCAGCTTTTCACAAACAGAACCAAGGGGAAAGGCTCTTTCCAGGCCAAGGTTGGTGGTGCTGTGCTTAGCCAGGTTTGTGTCCCTCAGGTAGGCTGAATCAAGCTAAGAGATAAGGGGGGTGCCGTTCTGGTTGATTTTCCGTCAAACCCTATTCAACCGTTTTAAGTAATGTTATAGATGCTATTCAACATACAGAACCGTAGTAAAGTGAATCCTTTAATTAGCAGTCCTTAGATGGCTGTGGGAAGTTGAGGGCGGGAGGGGGATGGGATGGGATGGGAAAAGGATTGTTTGACCGTTGACAATCTCCCGCTAACCAATCGGGCCACCACGAGCCAGAGGGGCACAACAGGTAAAAAAATCATGCCGTGTCGTGTTGGCAAAGAAATCTGAGATATTTTCAATGTTAGCCTCTTTTAGCTGATGGTACACAAGGTGCCCAACCCCTACACGCGAATTTGCTCTGCCCGCGATGGAAACTCTGCACCCGTGTATTAGGGTACCAGGCAGTTGCACCCTGTTTATAAGCACCTCGAGCAATACGAACCACAAAAACCGAAGTTTGACAGAAGAGACCCATGTCAAACGGTCAACAGTGAGTTACAAAATCTTTTTAAAAGGCCCTTTTTGCTAAGTGCGAATTGACGAAAACTTAGCGAAATGCAAGACTTAAGAGCCCTCTTAGCAGGGCAACCTTGGGTTAGTCAAACGGGCATCGTGTATAGCTGTTACGAGTGCAATTGAGTGAACGAACGAGAATTGCACCATCGAAGCAAGAGTCCAATGAGCGAAGGAATGAGCGAAGAATATATAGCGAAACTACAGTGGTAACGGTAATGGACTGTCGTTGTCGCGCGACGGGCCTGGGACTGAGGTTGGGAAAAGTGTCGAAGCGGAGGCCCGGAGCGCGGGTTACCCGTGTCAGACTAATATATAATTCTATATATTGTTCTATAATTGACTGTAGTGTAGAATACTGTAGTCATATAACTTTCTAGTTGGTGGTGCACCTTGCATGCTCTGTTTGCTATATGTACTCTTGTGCTATAGTGAACACCCTCATTCCCCTCTCAACTTTCTCGACACTCCTCCTTACCCTCGAACTCGATCTACTAAACCTATGGCTCCTAAGCCTACTCATGCTTAGTAACTCAACAACCCGCCGAGCCGTGAGGTCGGGGTGCGACGTGCGAAGGTGGCGGGCGGATTGTCGATGCGAGGATTGCGAGTGGTAACGGTGCTGACTGTGGTGCTACAGTGATGTACGAGTTGAGCAGAGATGCGAAGTAAGGAAAAGGATTTTTCCTTACACTACCCCCCCTTTCTGCTGCGCAGATACTCGATGAGGACGGGGTGGTTTTCGATTCTATCCAAGGGAACCCAATTGTCTTCGGTGGGTGTACGGTCTTTCCAGCGGAGTAGGAACTCGATCCTTCGGGCTCTGTGAGGGTCACGAACTCTGTGGCTCAGGATTTTTTCGGGGGTGATGATTGGTTCAGTCGGCGGTCATGTCATGCTGGCTGGGCGGTTGCGAGGGAGTTGGCTTGTGGACGGGACGTAAGGGCGAAGCAGGCTGACGTGGAACGAGGGGCTGACGTACCAGTCAGCAGGGAGGAGGAGGTGGGCGGTGACGGGCGTTATCATGTGGCTTATGCGAAATGGCCCGCAGTATCGGGGGCGGAGTTTCGGGGTGATGGGCAGTCGGAGATTTTGGGTGTCGAGTAAAACTGAGTCGTCAGGCTGGTAAGTGACAGGTCTGCGGTGGCGGTCGGCGTTGCGTTTAGCGATGATGTTAGCCTTTTTAATTGCGTCTGCTGCCCTGATCCGTTATGCTTGCAAAATCTCGGCGAACTGTTGCGCGCGTGGAACCGGGCTGTCGAGGTTCGGGGTCATGGGTACTGTTGGGTCTTGTCCGTAATTCAGGTAAAACGGTGACTGTTGGGTCGTGGGGGATGGGGCGTTGTTGTATGCGAATTCGATGAGTGGCAATTGCTGTGCCCATGTGTTTGGGTCGTCGCACGTGGCCCGGATGAGCTGTTCCATGGTCTGATTTGTCCGTTCTGTCTGTCCGTCTGTTTCGGGGTGGTACGATGAACTAAACCGTAGGCGCGTGCCGAACTGCTGCCACAGGTTTCGCCAGAAGTTGCTGGTGAATTTCGTGTCTCTGTCGCTGATGATTGATGCTGGTATCCCGTGCAGTCGAACGACGGTAGAGATGAAGAGGCGGGCTGTTTCTTTGGCTGTGATTGATTTTTTGCAGGCTGCGAAATGTGCCATTTTCTTCAGTCGATCAACGACGACCATGATCGCGTCATTTCCACTCGCCCCGGCCGGTAACCCCGTGACGAAGTCCATCGTCACCTGCTGCCAAGCACGCTCTAGAGGTGGGATTGGCTGCAACTGTCCCGCCGACCGCTTCCGTGTTGTCTTCATGATCTGGCAAGTGGGACACGATGCCACGTGTCGCTGCACGTCGGTCAACATTTCGGGCCAGTAATAATACCGCTCCAATTGCTGCCGTGTTTTCTCTACCCCGAAATGTCCCGAGGTAACCCCGTCATGTGCCTCCTGTAATAGTAATTCCCGTAGCCGTGTGTACCCTGGTACCCAGATGCGCTCGATCCCGGCTTTTACGTAATAGACTCCCTTGGCTGCTGCGAACTGCTGCAATTTCCTCCTGTGAAGAATGGGTCCGTTTGATATCCGTGGGTAAATAGTCCTGTCAGTAGCGGGCTGGTCTGGACGAGTAGTATCGCGTGGATCTGGGCAGTGGGGCGGGTCAGCGCGTCGGCGATGTTCGAGGCTCCTTTTTTATAGGTGACTGTGTAGTGGAGATTTGACTCGAGGAAATCGAGCCACCGAATCTGTCGTAGGTTGAGGTAGGGCAGTGCGCGGAGGTACTCTAGTGATCGGTGTTCTGTCCGTACTGTCACGTCTACGCCGGTCAAGTAGCAGCGCCACACTTTGAACGCATGCACGATCGCGAGCATTTCGCGGTCGTGTATCGGGTAATTTCGCTCAGGCGGATGCAGTTTTCGTGACTCGTATGCGATGGGCTGTAGGCCGTTGCCGAAGTCTTGTAGCAGTACGGCACCAATGGCAATGTTGAGAAGAAACGAGAATGCAATGACTAAGTGAAAGTTGAGTACAAATACAAACCCTACAAAGTTGTACCCCATATGTGCTAACCCGCTATAGCCTACAACAGCTATGTCATATAAATCTGACACACCCCCATAGGCAAAGTGGGGGAGAACAAGGGGTCACAAGACCAATCAAGCAAAGCAAAGCAAAGCAAGCTCAGGGTGGATCACCAAGTCACCACACATTCCTAGCACAAGGTCAAGGCCACAAGGCCAATTCACATGCAGGAGTACACATATATATATAAGGCTAGACAAGCAAGAGCAGGAGTATATATATATATATATATAGCAGTACAAACAAGGTCAAGAGGTGGGCAAGTGAGGCAAGGCAGGCACAAGACCCAACTGAGTACAGAAGCGCTGATGATCACAAGGCGCAAGCGCCTTGGTGAAGATATCAGCAGTGTTGGCCTCAGAGGCCACGTACGCAAGACGTAGCTGACCACACTGCTGCAGCTCACGAGCAAGGAAGTAGCGAAGAGCAATGTGCTTCGTTCTGTGCTCCAGTCTTTGCTCTCGACACAAGGCCAGCATGGCCTTGTTGTCTACGTACAGCACTGGAGGAGAACGAGGCTGCTCTCCGAGGTCACTCAGCAGGTAGGTGAGCCAGCGAAGCTCCTGTGAAGCCATGGCCCCGACGTAGATCTCAGCCTCACAATTGGAGCCGAGAACAGAAGACGAGCGCGTAGCCCGCCACGAAACAGAGCCAGAACCAAGGCTGAAGGTGTAGCCCTGTGACGACCGCTGCGTAGCCTGGTCGTCAGCCCAAGAAGCGTCTGCGTGCCCAATAAGGACCACTGGACTCTGCCCTCCAAGCACAAGCCCCATGCCTGACGTACTGCACAAGTAGCGCAACACCCTCTTCGCTGCGGCCATGTGCTCCGGTTTGTGTCTCCCAGGAGCAACATAGCGCACGAGAATGCTAAGAGGGTATGCAAGGTCAGGACGAGTGCAAGTCATCAGGTACATGAGGCAGCCAACAAGCTCTGGATACGGGCCACTCGACTCTACGGACTCATCCGAAGGCAGAGCTGAGAGTGAGTGGCGAGTAGGCAGAAGAGTGGCCTGAGGCGAGGAGTACGTAAAGCCGAAGCGCTGAAGGAC